ATTCCTCCTTCCTCTCCTCTCCCATTTGGGCTAAATCCCCCTATTATGTGCTCTCATGGCACCTTCTCCCTTTGCTGTTCTATCACATTTGTAATTTTTCATCAAATTGTGTGATTATTTGATAAATATCCATTTCCCCCAAACTCTGTGAAGGCAGAGGTAATGTCAGTTTTCTCATCATTGTATTCCAGCACCTCACACAGTACCTAACACATGGTAGACGCTCAATAAATATCTGACCTATCAACAGAGAGATACATAGATAAATTCATGCTATAAATTCAGCAAGCACTTAGTAATTGTTGCTGAGTAAATAAATATAAATTTAATATGAATAAATATAAGTATAAATTTTCTGGGTCTCCAAAATCACTGCAGATGGTGACTGTAGCCATGAAATTAAAAGATACTTGCTCCTTGGAAGAAAACTATGAACAACCTAGACAGCATATTAAAAAGCAGGGGCATTACTTTGCCAACAAAGGTCTGTCTAGTCAAAGCTATGGTTTTTCCAGTGGTCATGTATGGATGTGAGAGTTGAACCATAAAGAAAGCTGAGAGCCAAAGAATTGATGCTTTTGAACTGTGGTGTTCGAGAAGACTCTTGAGAGCCCCTTGATCTGCAAGGAGATCAAACCAGTCAATCCTAAAGGAAATCAGTCCGGAATATTCATTGGAAGGACTGATGCTGAAGTTGAAACTCCAATACTTGGGCCACCTGATGCAAAAAACTGACTCACTGGAAAAGACTCTGATGCTGGGAAATACTGAAGGCAGGAGAAGGGGACTACAGAGGATGAGATGGTTGGATGGCATCACTGACTCAATGGACATGAGTTTGAGCACACTCCGGGAGTTGGTGGTGGATAGGGAAGCCTGGCGTGCTGCAGTCCATGGAGTTGCAAAGAGTCAGACACTACTGAGCGACTGAACTGAACTGAATATAAATAAATCTTAGATATTATCTCTACCTTAAAGTTGCTTATATTCTAGAAGCAGAAAAAGAACATAAAGGGAAAAAATAAAATGACTTTACAAAACCACAGATTAGCAGGTACAGATTTAGAGAGCAGGGTATTGAGCAATGTGTCTCAGAGAGGAAGCTGAGAAAAGGGGCCAGGTGGTGAGTGCCCTTAAAGGACTTGCAGATAATTACAGTTTTTATTAAGGCTGTGTTACCACTAGTTTTGAAGAAAAAAAAAAAAAAAAGCAAGATGTACTGGAAGGAAGAAAAGGAAGTCTTCCAGTAGAAAGAATGGAAGCTTCAGAGGATAATAATTGCTTACAAAAGTGGCTAATATAGTCCAAGGAAATGAAGTTTAAATAAAGAAGTTGGTTGGTGGAGATTCCTGGTTTGGTTAAGAGTTGGTTTAACTGAAATGGTAAGAGTGTGAACAAGATGATTCTAATACTTGTCCAAAGGATGGCTTAGAGGTAAGAAGGTGGAGTGGTAAGGTCATCAGATAGGAAGCTATTACAGTCATATACTTGCCAAATAATCAACCTAGGCTGAGACAAGGGTTTTGAAATAAAGAGTCTGAATGATATTCTGGAAAAATAAATGTTGCAATTTGAGGATAGGCAGCATGTTGCAAGGAAATGAAGAGGGGAAAAAAGACCTGCAAGTTTTAAAGAGTGGGACACTGGGACTGTGGTGGAGACATGAAAACAAAGAGAAAATGGGAGGGGCGTTTTGTTGTGGGTGAAAATATGATCAGTTCAGTTCTGGAGAGAAAGAAAATAGAGATATTGAAGTGATGGGAAGGAAAGATAAAGATTAGAAATGGAGAAAGTGAGTTGCAAGTTAGTACGTATAGGAAATTGTTTGAAATCACTAACCAACGTAATTCTCCCTCAGGTGAAGAGATGCGGAGTCTAAACAATCTCAAAATGCATCTACAACTGAAGATGACCAAGCAAAAGTAAACAGAAGACAAGAGAGAGGGGGAAGGGGAACCGGGAGAGCTTGGGTTTTATGGAAACTAACACTGAAAGGAAAGCTTACTGCCACTAAAAATTCTCAAACACACTAAAATCAATCTTGGAATACAGTCAATGGACTTTAGAATACCTCAAATGACTAAAGATTTACTTTCTGTCATCATCACAAGATGGTGCACACATTTGAAAAGGATTTTCCCTGTTTAAAGACAAAGAAAAGGTGTTTTTTTTTTTAATTTAATTATCACTAGTTATTCTAGTCTGTGAACACGCTTCAATAAAATGTAACCAAAGTTAATTGAAAGTCCTAGTGTGGTCAGTTATATAACACCAGAATTGCTGAATAGCTTAAATGTGGTGTTTTCCCAGAAATATTTGTCTTTTGGATGAAACCAAGAATGGAAAGTTTCTGCCTTAAAGGAGAACTTTGGAGAAGGTGGAAAGAAAAGAAAAACATATATGATGGAAATCTAACTTTCATCATAATTAACCCAAACGCTGCAAGTGTGGTAACTACTCACACAGAAAGACACAAAGAAAAGTAAATCTCACTGTTTTAGAGAGTTACTTGTGAGCCATATATCAATTAGATGTCTCTTTAAAGATCAGAAAGTATCTCAAATATTGCCTTTGCCAGGAACAAGTTTTAGACAGATCTTTGGTTCTTGTTATTTCCCTGTTAAACTGGCAGAATCAACTGCTACTAACTCAGACTTAATCCTGTTTTGTCTAGGACATGAAGCAAGGTCTATAGAATGAAAATGTGTTCAGTTCAGGGCAGGAGAAGGGGAGAAGTCATAACCCTTGGTTGATTCAACTTCTTTTAGATAGAATAGCGGATGCTCTAGAAAGCTGCCTATACTGGTTTTTCTTCCCTTTCCATCCAGAGATAATGGGATAATGGGTGTGTGTGTGTGTGTGTGTGTGTGTGTTGTGGAAAAGGGGAGTTTTGGATGCATGCAGTGGGAGGTGGGGTGTTGGGTGAGGTGTGTGTCTGTATGTATGTCTGAACTGAGTGAGTATGTATGTATTATAGGATGAGAGAATTGATAGAGTAGATTGGCCTTCATCTTGAACCTTAATCATAAAAATCTTATGATTTCTCTACAGAATCATATAAATTCAACAGAAAGGCACTGTAAAGAAATGACAATACAACTGTAAGTTATACAGCAACGTGAGAACAAAATAAGTAATATACATTTACTTATAGCCAAATAGATGATATATTTAACATTATTTGAAGGAGCTTGTCAGGATGCCTTGCTGTGAAGTCAGTGTGCCCTGTACCTCAGAAAACCACACCACCCTTGGCTGAAGGCTCATGGCCTTAGCATGGAGACAAGCTGGCATTCCTGGCATGCATGCCCAACTCAAACTAAGTCCTTGGTCCTCGCCACCTGCAAAGGATGGGCAAGCAGAGGGAGATGCCTCAACATGGTCAGTCCTATAAATCAGTATCAGACTCTAGCTGTCCAAAGAGGGTCCAGGAGATCCTAGAATCAGTTCCAGGTTCCTAGGATTCCAGGACTAAACTGGGCCACCCAGGATTTTGTCGTGACCATGAACCATGTGAAGTGCATCGTCTTGGGGTGGTGGAGATCAGATCAAAACCAAAGAAGCCCAACTCTGAATATCATCTCATAGAACAGAGCTGCCATCTCCGGAGCCTGTCTCTGGACTATTTTGTGGGAGAGAATTAGAAGTCTTTCGTGTTTAAATTGTTGTGAATTTGGCTCTCTGTTACAAGTAGCCAGACCTACATTCTAATTAATATACCTGTTAAACAGAAATCAGTAGGAAGTCACTTAGCCAAAGGCTAGATCATAATATTCGAAGACTAACTCTCATGTACTCTGATTCTGAAATTGTTCTGGGCTCTCAAAGGGATTCTTTTACCCATTTATGAGCTCCTGTGCAATGAATATTTGCGTGTTCACTACATCACAGGCACTGTGCTAGGCACTGCAGAAATAACTTTCAACAAGACAGTCCTGGTGACTGCCTCCTGGTGCTGATGGATTAGAGGGAGAACCAGAACAAACCATGCACATTACAGGATGCTAAGTGCAGAGAGAAGGGATGCTGTTGGAGTACACAGGCTGAGCCCACAGGATTTCAGGGGTTGTTTCCCAGAGAAAATGACCCCCACAGTGAGCTCTGAAAGCTGAGAAGGACTTAGAAGTATGAGAAGAAGTGGATGAAGGAGGAAGAGCAAACAGCCCCGGCAGAGCGGGCCGAATAGGGACAGGCCCAGGACTCAGAGGGGTCACAGATCAAATAGAACCCTAGGCATGGCCTAGTTCATCAAACGTGCCAAATATGCGGGGACTACGCATTTTTCCTGAAAAAGAAGTAGCGCTAATTGGATCAACAGTATAACATAGTAGAGACATAGGTTAGATCCCTGAGTCAGGAAGATCCCCTAGAAAAGGAAATGGCAATCCACTCCAGTATTCTTGCCTGGGAAATCCCATGGATGGAGGAACCTGGTGGCCTACAGGCCACGGGGTCACAAAGAGTCGGACATGGCTGAACACAGCATACTAACTGGACACATGTCCCTTGGAAACATGAAGGATGCTTTTGTTTTATTTTATATAACCCCATAATCCCTCAAATAATTCTCTGGGAAGGGTCAGGTAAATTAACTATTTTAAGGACTTTAACAGAGCACACGCTATGCATAAGGTGCTAACTGCACATCCTGGTCCCAGGTCTCGAGTCAGGGAGGCAACGCCAGCAGGCGAGAGGAAAGGGTGTGCCTGTGAGCTCCTGGGTTTCCCTGGCGGCTCAGCGGTAAAGGACCCGCCTGCCAGTCAGGAGATGCGGGTTGGATCTCAGGGTAGGGACGATCCCATGAAGGAGGAAATGGCAACCCACTCCACTATCCTTGCCTGGAAAATCTCATGGACAGAGGAGCCTGGTCATGTGGACAGAGGTCCACAGGGTCACAAAAAGAGTCAGACAAGACTGAAGCGACTTAAACAACAAACAACAGGAAACCATACAGACTCCAAATTCCAAATCAGAATGCTAGTGTTACAGTTTGTTCTGCTTAGAACAGCCATCTGAGCACAAACAGAGGACAGTCCAGTCCCTCTCCGGGGCTGGGGACACAGGCTGGCTGGAAGGACCTCTTGCAAGTCTACCTTGGTGCAGGTGCAACCCCTGACCAGGGGATGAGAGAGAAGAAGAGTGAGGTCTCTTTCCAGGGAGGAAAGAGCAACGTTAGAGATGGTGAATGCTGTGAGCCTCCTGACGGAGACTTGAAGGATGAACAGAATGTCTAGGTGGGAGGGGAAGGGTTTGAGGGAAGCAGAGCAGGAGAGGGGAGAGAAATCTGAGCAGAAGAATTTTGGGCATGAGCCAAAAATAAATAAATAAAGTTTAAAACGTAGACTTCAAGCCACAGAGCACCACAAGAGAAAGAGACATTTCATAAGGCTAAAAGGGGCAATGTATCAGGAAGATGAGCATAAATGTCTATGTACTTGATTAGACAGATTGAAAAAACAAAAACAAAAATGTGAGCCCAAGCTTGGCTTCCCTGACTCAGACAGTGAAGAGTCCGTCTGCAATGCAGGAGACCCGGGTTCAATCCCTGGGTCAGGAAGATTCCCTGGGGAAGGAAATGGCAACCCACTCCAGTATTCTTGTCTGGGAAATCTCATGGACAGAGGAGCCTGGCAGGCTACAGTCCATGGGGTCGCAAAGAGTCGGGACACAATTGAGCGACTAACACCTTCAAGCTTGGAGTCGAATGTGAGGCCATCCCAGACTAGACAGAGGGAAGGAGGCCACCCAGCCCCCTCACGCCACACACCCACACTCACCCATCGCCCCTCTGGCTCACTGTCTCACCAGAGCATTCCACGAGTCGTGTGAATGGAAAAGTGTAACTTTACCCAGTGTAGGCTGTCCAAGTTCCTCTGTGCTCTAATGGTTTGATATTTACATCCCTGACGTAGGTCAGAATTATGTATAATTTATTCACTGAAGCATGACTGTCATCTGTTTACAGATACAAATATCTTTGCATTGGTAATCACTAACGCTTTCTGTCGTTTTGCAGTTTACAAAATGATTCTACATATATTAGTTCCCTTAATCCTCACGACTCCTGAAAGTAGAGGTATCACTATCTCCTTTTATGACTTAAGAAAGGGAAATGTCACGACTGCAAAGACAATATAAATGCTTTGAGCCAGGTCTTTTGACTCCAAATATCATGCCACTTTCAAAAGGATACATTTTTATTTCCAGAACATTTGTCTGCATTCTTGCTTGTATGTTTTTAGGACTTACAGCACCTCAAGGAGTACATTAGTTCTTCATGAAAAAAAGGTCAAGTGTTAGCGCTCAGACGTGTCTGACTCTTGCCACCTGTAGACTGTAGCCCTCCAGGCTCCTCAGTCCATGGCATTGTCCAGGCAAGAGTATCAGCATGGGTAGCCACTCCCATACCCGCTAGTAATCAGAGGTACATCCACACAGCTGCCAGCCGTCAAGAATTACATCCTCACTGGTTCTTTCATGAGTGTTTTACCCTTTTCATGCCCAGTGCCCCTATCCTGGCTCAGCTTCCTCAGACGTGGCACAACAGCTCCATTCATTCATTCACACAATCATGCAGACAGCCATTTTGCTCCAAGTACTGTGCTAAGTGCTGGGCAAACTGCAAGATCAATACAGAGCCCCTGCTTTCAGAGGACTTACCATCTGAGGAAGGAGAGAGACCAGGATATGGGACCTTGTGAAAAGAACGCGTGAATGCTTTTTGGAGGGAGCACGAGGTGAGACCCCTAGCGTTGAGAGGCTCTTAATCCAGAGTTAAGGAGTCAGGGATGGCTAAAGCTGAGGCTTTAATGGGAAGCAAAAATGAGCGTGAACATTTTCAACAGTGTGAGAACCATGAACTGCCAGATGTTCAAGCTGGATTTAGAAAAGGCAGAGGAACCAGAGATCAAATTGCCAACATCCGTTCATTCATCGAAAAAGCAAGAGAGTGCCAGAAAAACATCTACATCTGCTTTATTGATTATGCCAAAGCCTTTGACTGGGTAGATCACAACAAACTGTGGAAAATTCTTCAAGAGATGGGAATAGCAGACCACCTGACCTACCTCCTGAGAAATCTATCTGCAGGTCAAGAAGCAACAGCTAGAACTGGACATGGAACAACAGACTGGTTCCAAATTGGGAAAGGAGTATGTCAAGGCTGTATATTGTCACCCTGCTTATTTAACTTCTATGCAGAGTACGTCATGAGAAACGCTGGACTGGATGAAGCACAAGCTGGAATCAAGATTGCCAGGAGAAATATCAACAACCTCAGATATGCAGATGACACCACCCTTATGGCAGAAGGTGAAGAACTGAAAAGCCTCTTGATGAAAGTGAAAGAGAAGAGTGAAAAAGTTGGCTTAAAGCTCAACATTCAGAAAACTAAGATCATGGCATCCAGTCCCATCACTTCATGGCAAATAGATGGGGAAACAATGGAAACAGTGACAGGCTTTACTTTGGGGGGCTCCAAAATCACTGCAGATGGTGACTGCAGCCATGAAATTAAAAGACACTTGTTCCTTAGAAGAAAAGCTATGACCAAGCATATAAAAAGATAGCTTATTAAAAAGCAGAGACATTACTTTGCCGACAAAGGTCCATCTAGTCAAAGCTATGGTTTTTTCAGTAGTCATGTATGGATGTGAGAGTTGGACTATAAAGAAAGCTGAGTGCCAAAGAATTGATGCTTTTGAACTGTGGTGTTGGAGAAGAGTCTTGAGAGTCCCTTGGACTGCAAGGAGATCCAACCAGTCCATCCTAAAGGAAATCAGTCCTGAATATTCATCAGAAGGACTGATGTTGAAACTCCAATACTTTGGTCACCTGATGCAAAGAACTGACTCATTGGAAAAGACTCTGATGCTAGGAAAGATTGAATGTGGGAGGAGAAGGGGACAACAGAGGGTGAGATGTTTGGATGGCATCACCGATTCAATGGACATGAGTTTGAGTAAGCTCTGGGAGTTAGTGATGGACAGGGAAGCCTGGCAAGTTGCAGTCCATGGGGTCGCAGATTTGGACACGGCTGAGAGACTGAACTGAACTGAATCTAGGGGGAGAATGCTTAGTTCAGAAAAAGGAATGACAGGAACAAAGGCATGGATGCCAATGGGAAGAAAGTAACTTCACAGATACAACTGAATATACTTTGACAGCCTGAAGGATGAGTGCAGTGGGAAGGCACTGCTGAGAGATAAGAGTCAGATTACGAAGAGCCTGGGAGCCCTGTGAAAGAATCTGGGCTTTGTCCTGGAGCAATGGAAACCATGAAAAGATATCACTCAGTAGAGTGACATGAGAAGAGTCACATTTTAAACAGGTCTGACTGCAGTATAAACGATTCGAGCAGCGGGGCCCCCATATAAATATGTGTGAGCCACTTAGGGAATTTTAACTTTTCTAGGAACCACTTTAAAAAATAACAGAACAGATGAAATTAATAATTAATTTTAATAATCCAGTTTCTTTAACCAACAGTACTAGAAAGAGGTATGGAGAGAAGTGAACATGTGGGAGAAGTACTCAGGAAGTAGAAACTTGTTACAGGTGAGAACTTACTTTAGTTCATTTGACTCATTAGGATCAAATGAATCTTCCTGAAATATAGCTCTACTTAAGATATCCTTGTGTTTAAATTTTACCTCATTTTTGCTCTTTAGCCACCAGATAAAGCTCAGACTCTTTAGCCAGCAGCAGACTCTGCCTTTCCTCCAGCATCTGCATCCTCCCATCCACATTGATGGGCCTCTCTACTCCCATCTGTGGACCCAGCATCTAAGACCAGTCATAACCTTATGCAGAAGGAATGAAAAGACCTCAGCTCAGCGCTCTGGAATGGAGCATCAGACTTCTGCTCCTCCTCAGAGTCAGGCCCCCGTGTTCCAGGTCTGACTCCTGGCTTGGAAGTCTGCCTGGTCCCTCTGGGGTGGGGGCCTTGCATTTCACTCTCCATTCCACTTTTTCCTCCTTCCAGAGTTTGGAAGTCTGCCCATGAACCTGAGCTTAGCGGCTGGAGCCTGCTGACTGCTGACCGACATTCTTATTCCCTCCCTGCTGAAGACATTTCTTAGGGCCACCTGGTGCTAGATTTTCTAGTACCAGCACCTCCCAGCCTCAAGATCTGTCAGCCACCTCCCAACATCAGCTCCACTCACCCAGGCAAGTAGAGTGACCACCTTGTCATCTGCTGCCATATTCCTCTGAGTCTCCCTTCCAACACCTTGTCTGCAGCCTAGACTTGCCCCAAAGCTCCTACCCCAGCCCCCCAGCAGATCTAGCCTCTGCCAGCTTGCTCTGTCTTTGGCAGTGAACCCGGCCATTTCTAACAATGTCTTGAGCTATAACAATTAACCGTCAAGGCCCTGCAAATTTCCACCCACCCACCACTGAAACTTCCTCCTCCCTAAGCTTGTGTACCCTTTACTCCAGTCAAAATCATCTCCCTGTCATTTGCCATTCATGCCCCACGACACTTACTGACCTCCCTGATTCACTCCATCCAACCACTCAGCCTGGAAAGGGCCTTCTCCCATTCCATCCCCATTTCCTGAGGGATTCTTACTAAATATTAAGCCCCCAAACATGACAATCTGTAATCTCCTCCCCATCCTGACTGGAAATGACAGCCCTCTCCTCTGAACTCCTCCAGTTCATTATCTGGATTTCCAGTATGGCTTTTATTACATTCTTCCTTCTTGCAAATGTCTTATCTCCCCAAGAATATAAATAAATGGCTTGGGAATAAGATCCATGTCTGATTACTTAGCAAAGCAAAATAGCTAGGGGAGAGGGAAGGAGGGAAAGAGGGACTTGGCTCCATTTTGCAAAATGAGTAACAGTCCATGAAGGATTATAACGGAGCAAGCATACACAGTCAAGTGCCTGCTTAGCATCCTTAATATCATTCCTGAAACATGGGGATACGGGCCCCTGTCCCTATAGACATTAAGGAAATTCTCTGAGAGTCCCTTTAAGTAATATACAATATTATTCTATATAGCCTCTCTATTTAGAGTTATCTCTTTGCATCTCCCCCTCAACCCCAAATGCATCTGGGAGCCCCCACTCTCCCACCCTAAGTCTTGATGGTTCCTAAAACAGAGTTGGAATAAATTCAGCCACCAGTTCAGACCCCTGCAGTCCCTCCTTGGCACCTCCTAGGTCCACAAGTGTGATAAAAGGCAGCACAGCAGCTCTGCCCGGGGATAGAAAGAAATCTGTGGACCCAAGGATCGTGGGACCAGCCTCCCACCAGCACAAGCAGGAAACGGAGACTGCCAAGAGTGGGTGTTTCTGTTTGTTGTTAAAATGGGCAAAGGTAGTTCTCGCTCCCTGGATAACAGTCAGCCTCTTGTTCCCTGTGTGGCAGTACATGCTGGACATGGAGACTGTTTTGCCAAATGTCTATGACATGGTATGATGGGGGAGAGTTAAGCACATTGTGCACAAGAACTTCATGCCTGTTTTCCAGCTTTCCACTGAGGGACTCCAGATTCTTCATAAAACGTAACAACTATCTCACCAGATCTATGTACAGGAGGCAGAGTACATTACCAAGTAGAACCCACCAACCACAATGTCATCTCTACTGGTGCCTATCCTGCAATATTAGACACCCGAGTGGCTTTCCGGTCTAACATTCCTGTTCAACTATAAACATATATAAGTGTTGAATCCCAGGCCAGGACGTCCAAAGGCCCGATGGTCTGGAGTCCTAAGATGCTAGGCAGACATCAAAATGCCAGGTTTTATGAAGAAGCATCTAACAGTGACTAAACATGCTTCAGAGGCTTTCCAGTGCTTAGTCACTCCACATTGCTTCTGTGTCTGAGCAAAGCACTCCCTTTCCTGATGAAGCTATTGGTGCTCAGTGTCCTTTAGAAGCATCAAAGAAGATTCTCTAGTGCCTCACAGATTTGATGGCTTTGATGTTGATGATGAAGCTCTCAAAACTCCATGTGTCTGGGTTGAGCTAACACGTGAAGTGAAAGTGAAAGTCGCTCAGTCATGTCCAACTCTTTGCCACCCCATGGACTATACAGTCCATGGAATTCTCCAGGCCAGAATACTGGATTGGGAAGTCGTTCCCTTCTCCAGGGGATCTTTCCGACCCAGCAATCGAACCGGGGTCTCCTGCGTTGCAGGTGGATTCTTTACCAGCTGAGCTACTAGCGAAGCCCTGAGATAACATGGTCAAGCCCCATCTTTTAGATGCTTTACCTGGAACTGGAGCCCTGGTGTCCTTGTGGCAGGTACCCTGTGGACAGAATGCCATCACAGCCCTCGTAATTAGAAGCCACATCCTTTTCTGACCCAACACAAGTGGAAAATTAATGACTTGGGACAAGAATTATTCTATTGATCGGCTCTAGAGCGTGACAGATCCTCAAGGGGAAGAGCAGACAAGGGAGCTGAGCTGTGAGCATCACTTATTTATGTATCAGATTCCAGAAGCTAAGGTACAGAAAGCACTTTAAGAATAAAAACAGAAACCAGCTACACAAGTCTAAGAAAACATTATTTTTCTTTCTACTCAAAATAGATTTGTATAATCTTGAGAGTGTAAATGGGCCTGACCTTTTTTAAAGCACCATTTGGTAATATCAATATTAAAAACACACTTCCCCTTTAAACAAGTAATGTCACCACTAGGAATTTACCCAGTGGATATACACGGAACACTTCAACAAAACATTATGTCCAAGGATGGTCACTGAAGCATTTCTTTGGCATGGTTTTAAAAATACATCAAAATATCCATCAGTAGAGGGACTGGTTAAATAAAAATATCATATCCATATAATGGATTAGTCAAAAGAATGAGATGAATCTGTGTGTGTCAATATGGAAAGATTTCCGTAACACTTTATTAAGGGGGAAAAAAGTCAAGTACAGTACAGCGTGTATCGTGTGATTCCTTATGTGCTCAAATACACATATGTATGTGGAGAGGAGCACATAATTACATTCAGGCATGTGCAGGAAATCATCTCGGGAAATAGTTAGCCATGGTAAACATTGAGTAAAGGACCTGAGATGGGCTGGAGAAAGAGCTTAACCGGGCAGGGTGGCATTTGGGAGACAGATTAGGAATCAGAGTAGGTGTCTTCTTTGTACTCTCCATTGTTGAAAATACTAATAAACATTCTATTATTATTTGAAACAGTTTCTAAGTTAGTATCTTCAACAGAAATTGGGTATGTGTCCAAAGAGCAAAGCCAAAAAAAAAAAAAGAGGCTCTTGGCTGAGAGATGGATCATGCCCTCAGCCAACTCAGCTAAAGAGGAAGTATTCTGGTCCGCAGAGAGGGAGAAGCTGGCCTCTGCAAAAACTGTTTGCTGTGTATTAGGGTGGAGGGGGAAGTGGAAAGAAGAAGAAGAATTGCCTCATCTGGGTTTTTAATTGAATTTTAATTTTTCCACTTATTTCACTTTGGAAAAGGGACTTTGATAAGAGGAACTAGCACTTGCCCAAGAATAGAAGGGACCAAAATGTTGTCCCAGCTACCTAGAAAGACTTGGAAGGAACACTCTCATCCCTTCCCGACTCCAATCAGAAGGGTGAAAGAGGTGTTCACAGGGAATGTTGACAAAGGGTAGATGCTGAAGTAGGAGGACTGTAAACCAGCCTCAAGAACACACACCTTCCAGAGCTGCTGGTGGCTCCCTTTCTACTGAACAGCATATTCTTTTGTGTTCTTGGCCTTGGGGAAGAACCGCAGCTTCATTAACCCATTGCGCAGTCTGGGCTGCTGTGGCGTATGCCACTGTCTACCCAGACAGAGTGAAAACAGAAAAGACTGAAACTCAATGGGGTCCACTGCACTGAAAGGCTCACTTGCCACATGAGTCTTGCTTGTGATAATGCATGGAGGCTTTCTATTGGCCAAAACCTCCTTCAATGGCTTTCATTACAGAGCAAGGTTGTCCTTATGTATCTGAGTAAAATATCTATGACGTTGGTCTAGATATAAATCCTGTAAAGCAAGCATGACTTGAACATGATTTTCTACTTGATGGACCACCAGTCCCAGGGTAAGCATAGAATGTTCCCCTCTTGTCACTCCAATCCAATTATTCATCACCAGGGCAGAAGAAGGTAGAGAGCGGCATCATAAGCCTCATTGGAAAATTTCTAAATGCTGGAGCATCTTCAGGGACATAGACTTCCCCCAAGCCAGGTTACTTTAGCTAGTTACAGTATAGGGCTAAAAAGGCCAAGGTCATGAGCTTATTTACCCTGAGGGCCAGTTAGCTTTGATCTGTTTCTTGGCCATATATTGTATCCCTCAACCCAAACATCTGTTTCAAAAATGGATGCCCCTGATGACAAGGGAGACTGGTCCAAAGTAAAATAGATGTCTGAGTTCAAATTCACCATGCTTCTGGAAAAATGACATGAAGCATACCAAAAATATTAAAATTACATCACCTGTTATTTGTTCCAAAGAAATCAGGAAAAATAACACCAAGCAGACCTCAAAGATCTGCACAACTGCTAGACTGGTCATCAGGCAGAACATAGCTATTTACTCGTAAGAGCTCACTTTTGTTTAAGAAGAAGGTATCATACTATAAACCCATTTTTCCACTAAAATAATTTGAGAAAACTATTTCACTTAGTATATACAGAATGTTCTACTTGTTTACAGGTATTCCCTTAGGGAGGAAACTGAAATCGAAATGAGTTTTTATAAACTTCTATGCCCTTGGTACTCAGTCACTTCGCTTGTGTCTGGCTCTTTGTGACGTCACGTACCATAGCGTGCCTGGCTCCTCTGTCCATGGGATTTTCCCAGCAAGAATACTGGAGTGGATTGCCATGCCCTCCTCCAGGGGATCTTTCTAACCCAGAGATCGAACCCAAGTCTCCTGTGTCTCCTACATTGCAGGCAGATTCTTTACCACGGAGCCACTGGGGCACCCCTCTATGCCCTTTATATCTCTTTAAATATTTTATATTAAAAAGTAAATTCAACATTTCATTCATTATTTGATCTGAACATTTTTCATGCTAATTACTTTATTTATAAATTCGTATTTCTTCAAATTGCTCTAGTTCTTTCCTCATAAATATGTTCTTCACCCATATACTAAGGATAAAATACCTTCTTTTTTTCAATTGGTTCACAGAACCCAGCACTTATGCTTTTCCACCATTTATAAAAAGAAACGAATTTCCAATCTATTTTTCTTCACACTTCTATCTAGCTCCTTGCTTCTGAACTTTCCCAACACAATCCACAAACATAATCAATATCTGAAATACCACATGCATCAGTACCTGAAACACAGATGAAGATCTAGAACTGGGACTTCCCTGGTAGTCCAGTGGCTAAGACTCTGTGTTCCCAATGCAGGGGGCACATGTTCGATCCCTGGTCAGGGAACTAGATCCTTCATTTTGCAACTAAGAGTTGTCATGCTGCAACTAAAGATCTCACGTGCTGAAACTAAGAAAAAGAAAAAATATATATATCTCACATGCCACAATTAAAAGATCCTGCACACTGCAATGAAGATCAAGGATCCCATGTGCCACCACTAGGACCCAAAGCAGTCAAGTCAATATATACATATCTCATACTCTCACCTTGACCCAGATTTAACATTGAGGGCCATCTTATATACCTTGAAATCTGAGCACATCTACAACTGCAAGCTCTCTGATCTCAAGATAATAATAGATTTATTTCAGTTCAGTCACTCATTCATGTCCAACTCTT